AGCAGGGCTGGTTCCTTCTGAGGGTTTACAGGGAGAATACATCCCATGCCTCTCCCAACTTTGAGGCGCCAGCAGTCCTTGGCTTGTAGCCCCTTTGCAACCTTTATTTTGTAACATCTCCTACTATGAGAGATCTTCTGTCTCTCTTATAATGTGATCCCATTGGTCCCACATGGATAATCCAGGCTAATTTCAAAATCCTCAATTTGATCACATCTGCAAAGTCTCTATTGCCAAACAAGGTAACATTCAAATCTTTGGGGGCCGTTATTCAGCTGGCCACAGTGTGGGACATGGCTTCGTAGCTACGTGGCCTTTAAAGGCACCAGATGATGTGAAAATGTGAAATCTCACATAGTGAAATTCAACCAATGGGAAACAGGAGACCGGACCAAGCTAGGAAGAGAAATTTCGTTTCTTTCCTCTCTGGAGGACTGCTCAGAGGTGGGACTTCACCACAGCCTGTGTAGAGATATCCCATGTGGCCACACACATGCTCCTGCTGAGCCACTGGACTGGGACTCAAAGCAGTGGCTGGCATGGAAATACATCACTTCGCATAGCTTCCTACCCTTGCTGCCCAGGAATCGCACTTCCCAAAGCATCAGCAGTTAACCTCTATTCTCTAGGGCAGCCGTGGGCAAACTACGGCCCGCGGGCTGGATCTGGCCCGTTTGAAATGAATAAAACTAAAAAAAAAAAAAAAAGACCGTACCCTTTTATGTAATGATGTTTACTTTGAATTTATATTAGTTCACACAAACATTCCATCCATGCTTTTGTTCCGGCCCTCCGGTCCAGTTTAAGAACCCATTGTGGCCCTCGAGTCAAAAAGTTTGCCCGCCCCTGCTCTAGGGAAATCTCAGCTGGGGTGGCCGACAAATTGAAAATCATTTACTCCTCCACTTATTTAAGAAGAAATCACTGGTACCTACTATGTTCAGACACAGTTCTAGTTAAGAGTGACAGTAATCCATACAAAAAGATTTCTGCTCTCACCCAGCTTATGTTTCCACTGGGAAAGGCTTAACAATAGACAATTGAACAAACAAGAAACATCACTCAGTGGCAAACGTGGGGATGCGATAAAGACTAGCTGTTTTATATTTGAGGGTGTGGAGGTCCTTTCTGGAGAGGTGCCAGTAAAGCTGAGGCCTGGATGACAGTCACTGCACAGAATCAGGGGAGAGAGAAGTGCCTTTAATGTCAGGTATCATTTTGCGATCGATGTGTTTCTCACATGGGTGATTCCAAGTAGCGAGCTCTGGGTGAATAGCAGCAGAAATTTGCTTTTAAAAAATTCATGACTCTACCAAGCAGAAGGCCAGATGGTTTAAAATACGAAATAAACATTTCCGGCAGAAGCTCTTTACTCGCCCACAAATGGGGCTTTCTTTCTGTCACAAAGGGCTGCATTTTGTTTTATTTTAGAAGTTATTTTTTTTACTACATTTTACACTCAGTGTCATTGAAGAGGAAGATCCATGAACTTAGAAGCTATATGTCATCAGCCGGGTAACAAATAAGTTGGGTTATAAACCCATTTCCTTTAAGTGGCAACATATTTTTGTTTGTGTGGGTTTTTAAATATTTTTATTGATTTCAGAAAGGAAGGGAGAGATAGAAACATCAATGAAGAGAAAGAATCATTGATTGGCTGCCTCCTGCACACCCCACTCTGGGGATGGAGCCCGCAACCCAGGCATGTGCACCAACCGGGAATCAAGCTGTGACCTCCTGGTTCATAGGTTAACGCTCAACCACGGAGCCATGCCAGCCAGGCATCATATTTTTGTTTTTATGAGGAGCTGACATTTGTATCATAGTATTTTTTGTTTCATTTCATTTCAATTGCTTTTGCAGATCAGTTTACATCTTAGTTCCGACTGAAGCATACAGGAGATGTCATGGGCTTTGACATCAGACAAACCTTGTTTCTTCAGATCTTCTCTTAGATATTAAATGTTTTTTTATAACATTCTCAAAGGTATCATTTAAAAAATTATAATTGGTTGTTGCTGCTATGTAGAAATACGTTGGTTTTTATTTGCATTTATTTACTTATTTTTTTAATTTAAAAAGGCTAGCTAACTGGAGGATGAGAGACCACATGGAACAGAGCTCAGCCATCTGATCTGGGGCCCTAGACACATGAGAAAGCCACGTCAAGGTCAACACAGTTGACCTGGCCGCAGCTGAACTGGAGCTGAATGCCCGGCTGAGCCCAGCTCAAATAGACAACCTAGAGAATTAACATGTTTGTTGCTTTAGCCACTGAATTTTTGAGTGATTTGTTACACAGCAAAGCTGTTACAGTAAGTTAAATTTTCTAAATCTCAGAAAGCTGTGAACAATAGGTTAGCACCTACATCATGCTTACTGTGAGGATACAATGAAATGATGGTCATACCACCCCTGGGACAGCCTGAAACAATGTGTGCTGAAGAAATGGTCATGATGCCGTTGGCCACAATGGAGATGGTCAAAGGAAAACACATGACAATGTCAGAAGTCATACTTAGGAATCCACACTCTGCTCATTTTTGCCTCATGGATTTTCTTCATTCAGTTGTGCCACTGGCATGTGCTCTCACTGCAAATCTGCATTTATGTTTTGTTTTGTTTTTTCCTTTTTAGCGCAGTATTCTCCTTTGAAAACTCTCCTCCTTGCTGTCTTGCTATGATACAATCAACTTCTAGTTCCATATATTTTTATCTTTTACCCTCAACGAGGCTCTAAACAACTTAAGACAGTTCTTATGGTTCATTTGCAAACTCCACAGAAATATATATTTTAAATATCTGAACAGCAAGAATTTAGTAAGTATGTAGCAAGAGTTAAATGGCTATGGTTGGTGTTGATCCTTGGGGTTATCTCTAATAACGAGGCCTATTCAATTTCAGTGTCAAGTTATAAAGTAAACGTATGGAGAACAATTCCCCCAAGAGATCAAAGTTACAGAAATGACTCGTTTTCTTTTCTGGCGCGTCATGAGGAATCATGAGAACTCTAATCAGGCAACTGGTTCCCACCAAGCAAACATCTGGGTGCCTCAGGGGTAACAGACCCTGTTTATGTCTCAAACTGCAAATCAACTATAATCCTGTTATTACTTGAAAGAGAAAACAAAGTCCCTGGGAAAACTAAAGATAGGGACAAAATATATACTTTGAAACCTCTTCAATTTTCTCATGTAACTTTCCTCCCCACTCAAAGTACTTAAAGCTTTATGAGTGTCTTTTTCACTTCTGAGGTTTTTTACTTAAGACATTTCCTTCTGAAGATGACTTTTTGTTTTAATTGAAAAATTACTTATTGGTGCCACCTTTCCGTGGTGTAGGGCCAAGCTCCCTCCAGCAATAGGTCCGACCACGCATCTTGTTCCAACTCTGCACACACTGACGTCTCCTTGGAGCTTGAAATGAGCCACGGCGGGAATACTGACACCACGGAAACCAGCAAACACCACGAAGCAGGAGGATTTATTTCCCCCTAGAGAAACCCTGATGAACCCTCACCAGTGCATCGCGGCCGGAGCTCCACCTTCCGGGGAATTACCGCTCTCGACTTCTTGAATACAGACGCCGGGTTTCACCAGGAGACATCAGTTAGCATCCTCACTGCTGGGCAGCTAATACCCAGTTTTGGGGGGGGCTGATAAAATAAAGGATGAAATGACAGTGTGTGCTGTTGAGTCAGTCAGTTTGGCTGAAATAGGAGGGAGGTGGAGTGGCAGGAAACCAGGGTCGAGGCAGCCAGGGCAGAAAACACAGGGTACTGTAGTACAGATTACCATTTTGGGGAGAGAGTAATAGGTCTGAGTAGGAGAGGCATATATTTGGATTTGTGTTTTATACTAGTAAAGATCCCTTTGGGCATCTGGTCTATGGAGAATAGCATTTATGGGGGGCTGAGGGGCACAAAGGTGGAATCATGTGAGATCAATGAAGATGCTACTTGGGGCCAGGGCAACGGAACTGCAGCATGGCCCTGACTCCTGCTGCATGCCATCTCCAACTCCACACCTGTGCTTGTCCTCCTTTGGGGCCCTCCTTTTCCTTTGCCATATTGCCAGACCAGCTCAAGGTCCACCGCCCTTCACCTGTGATTTCCTCGAACCCTGCTTTTACCTTCTCAGCTTTCTTGGAGTCATGCTCCGTGCCTACAAGAGCAGTCGAGACATCTACATGTCTGTTTTCAGACCAGTGACCAAGGGCATGAAACACCCTGAAGCCCAAAGCCTTAAACCCCAAACCAACAACAACAAAAAAGATCCCATATGAATTGAGAGCCGCTCGGATAAAGAAAGCACACTGTCCATTAGCTAATATCTTTTATTGTCAGACTTTCTTGTAGCCAACAAACGATGATTTCACTTTCACATGGCTGTCCGTGAGGGATAAGGCATTATTTTTTTCTTTGTGGGTAGACTTAGTTGGCCTAAGGCTTTACAACTTTTCCATATGAAAATAAAAGTCCAAGACCAGATTATTTTTCTTCTGGTCACAAATGCTGATTTATTTACAGGCGCCTTTTCAGACCACCATTATAAACTTGAGATAAAATTTGTCATTATAGTAAAGCCTCAGCATTTAATGTCACGGTCCTTTAAAGAAGCGGCTCTCAACCTGTGGGTCGCGACCCCTTTGGGGGTCAAACGACCCTTTCACAGGGGTCGCCTAAGACCATTGGAAAACACATATATAACTACATATTGTTTTTGTGATTAATCATTATGCTTTAATTATGTTCAATTTGTAACAATGAAATTGGGGGTCACCACAACATGAAGAACTGTATTAAAGGGTTGCGGCATTAGGAAGGTTGAGAACCACTGCCTTAAAGACTTGCACACGTAGTTCACCTCTGGGGAGTACAGCACTTCTCCCCGTATTCCACGTGGTTATATGTGATCTACCCGGAGCCATATGAGCAAACTTTCAAAGAAACATTTTTTAACTTAAATCTTTTAGAAACTCAAGACTCCAAAAAGACTTCATATAGTTCTAAAAACAGCCCTAGAGCCAGCTGTTTAAGAGTGGTTTATAAATAGTTATCTGCAGGCTGCATATCTGTTTATAACACAGCAGACACAGAATGCAGACTTTGCTACATGAATAACAAAACTGAGTCCAAATGCGGCTTTCGAAATATAGCAAAAACAGGGGGAAATCCGGGATTCGGTCTGTTAATATCACCACCTTATAAAGTAACAATTGGAGACTATAACTCTGAACTATTAAAATATACAGACAGACTGTTTACACCATTGCACTTCCTTCTTCCCTTTGCTTTTAATACTCTTGAGACAATGATTAAAGTGATGGGTTTATGAACACATGCATGCACAAGCAAGCACATATACTTAAAAGATGAAACAAAGAAAAAAAAGTTAATACGCGTCTTCCAGGAAGGCTGCCAGCAGCACTCCGACTAAAATACACTGTCCCCTTGTGCTCCCCGTCCCCCTCCCCACTCCCTCACCTTCCCTCAAAGTCGGGAAATCAGGCGGGGAGGTTAGTGCATAGTTGATGGATAAATGCCCCCCCACTTCCAAGCTTTGCCAGTCTCCCCAACAAGGCGGGGAGCATTCCCCTCAGTAGCACAGTGAAGGTCCATGAGTGTTGCTCCACAAGTTAAGGCACTTCTGGCTGCTTTGGCGGCGACGTGGGTATGTTTCCTCGCTCTTTGTTAAGGCATATGTCATCTAAGAGTAGTAAAGCTTTGGAAATCGGGTTAAGGTTGACAGCTTCATACATGATCACTGAAGTGGATGGGGCGAAAGGTCCCTCGGAGACACCTTCCTTCCGGAGGCTTCCAGAGGGCCTGGCACCTCTGCCCTGGGCTTGGCACGCAGGGACCGGCCCAGGCCAGAGGGGGGCATGTTCAGAGACTGAAGACACACAGACTCCCGCCTGGGTTCACCTGGAGCTGCCCTGGCTGCTGACGGAGCGTGAGGTGCTGTAGCGCTTCTTCACGATCATGCTGATGTAGGCTTTCATGAGCTTGGCCACGTCCACCACCTGCCCGGGAAGCAGATCGGCACAGGGTCACCAGTCTCTGCCGGGCCAGCGGGCCCAGCCCAACAACCACACGTCCTCCCCGGAAAAGCCACCACCAGCCTGCTGTGCAAATCCACAGCTCGAGTTTTGTATGAAGCCACAAGTTTACCTGCTTTTACCTATTCCTAGTCAGGGAGCAGGGGAACTGTGGCTTTTCCAAACAGTGTGCACCACCTGGTGGTTCTTGCAGGCAAAAACGACAATTTTGCTTAATGTGAAATCGTCGGACTTTGCACATTAAAAACAAATAAATAAACCTGATGATGCTAAAGTTGGTATCACCAGGGCTGGGCTTTCTCTACCCACTTAAAGTAAGGGTAAACGACAGAGCCCGCAGTCATGGCTGTGAAAGACTGCACCGTATAGTTCGAGTCAACGCCTCATGGTGCAACTGAGGAGACAGAACTGAGACTCCAAGGGTCGGGCAGAGAGCGGCAGGCGTCCAGCTCTGCTCCATGCCTGTGCGAGCTCGAATTAGCTCCTCCCACCCCCTTTGGCCCATCGTTTCTCATGGCTGGCCTGGATCCCTGCTGAGACATCCTCACTGGCTTCCACTTCCCGGTTCTCTCTTTCCTGCCAACCAACCCCATCCCACATCGCTGCTTGTCATCGCTGTCCTTACTTCATGCACAAAGACCTCAGCACAGTTCCCTGCTGTCCACTGGAGTCGACCAAACCCTGCAGCCTGGCACCCAAGACAGTCTAGGCAACGGCCCCCGACCTCTCTCCATCTCAGTTGGCCTCATCTAGCTCCTGTACCACATACTTGGCCTGACTGCTCCTTCAAGCACTCCCCTCCCTCCCAGCACTTAACAGCCAGACTGGCAGCGGAGATTCATCTCCATTCCCTGCCTCCACTTGTAGGCAGCTCCCTATGTGGAGACTTCAACAGGCTTCTTGTACCATCATTATTATTACAGTGTAAGCTTTGGAGCGGACAGCACACATATTTCAGGCATTTTTGATGACTCTGTGAGCCAGAATTAGCTCTGCCCAGGATGGCCACATCCCTGCCTTGCTCCTGCTCCGTGGACACCAGAGCCGAGTGTTACTGCTCTTACTCGCTGCCATCAGCATCTACTAATCTTCACAAGACTATCGCCAAACGATGTTTTTTCTTCTTGAACATCCGTATCATTTCTCTCTCTCTTCCTTTCCTCCCTGATACAAGGGAACCAGGTTTCTCTGTTGCAGAGGTATACAGAAGAAATTTGGGATTATCAGATTTCAGCCTGGGAGGAACCTGAAGCTGGGTAGGGACCATCACACTGTGCTTTCCCATGCCTTAGTAAGAAATACTCAAATAAAACTACTTGGTCAAAGGCATCAGGAAATGGCGCATTGTTTTTCTATTTTTTCAAGGCCATCGTTTGCCTCTTACCTCGCTGGTTTCAAAGAGCAGCTCCCGCTCATCCACCACGATCTTGTACGTGTTGGCCAGGGGGGCCCCAAAAGAGAGGATGTGTTCATACTGGAAGACTTCTAAGGGTCTCCCCTCCCCACGCTTGTAGACGGAGACAGCGTCTGCACTGACGCCCAACCACAGGTCCTGGGGGAAGCCGCCTTCCTTGCACTGCGGACAAGAGTCAGTGTTAGGGTTAGATCAGGAAGCAAGTAGAAGCACAGCACCCAGAAAACAAGACAGGCTTTCAGGCAGCCTCTGCACAGAATGCGGAACACAGGCAATGCCCATTTAGGCCAGGGAACGGGGACACGAGAAATGGCATCTCTCTGACAAAGTCTAGGACCACAGAGGGACATTCTTTAAATCACTCTGTGCTGAACAGTTTTGGCTTCTTGTGAGGAACACATGTCTTGACAGGGGGCAGCAGTGACCTGCTGTGCTGCAGTGGCCGATCTCCCTGGGCAATGACA